TGTCTGTGTCTGTGTCTGTGTGTGTATCTGTGTGTGTGTATGTGTCTATTCTACTCTACCGAGTCGCGCTATAGTCGGTTGGGTACGGCACCTATTGTGCAACCTCTGATCAGTTGGGTTTTACCGAGTTCCACGTGGCCGGGTACAATTTTACCGAGCCTTATGATGGTCGGGTACATGTTTACCGAGCCTATTACGGTCGGGTACGATTTGATGATACCCACAGAGGCGTATGTTTTAAAAGTTTGTGTGTGTGTGTGTATCATGCATTTCATGTCAGTAGCTCTCAGAGGTACCCAGATGTTATAGGTTGTATATTCTCTATCCCTATTTATATTACTGTTCTCACTTATGCTTTCCTGCCTTACATACTTAGTACTTTATTCGTAGTGGCGTCCTTTTTATTTGTGGACGTTGTATGTCGTGATGCAGGTCCTGATAGACTGATAGACAGATAGACGCAGCTCCCCCACCACAGTAGGCTGCCCAGTTCAGCGGTTATTGGCGAGATCCCTCTCCGGACTTGCCGTGGTCTTGGTATGCATTTTTGTTATAAACATTATGGGTTTGTCGAGGTCCTATTCCGGCAATGTTGCAACTCATGTTCTTTTAGAGGCTCATAGACAGGTGTCGACTCGTGTATAGTTTGGATTGCCTTGTCGACTGATTTTTGTTGTATAGTCTCTCATGGCAGCTTGTCAGGTCGTACCATATATATAGCTTCATGACAGCCTTGTCAACCCATATTATATATGTTGATGTCATTATCTGTCATTGTTGGTTGTTTAGGATTCATGTCTACCATTTATATTGATCTCGTTGACCCTTATATATAATAAGAAAGGTTAGATAAAATGTATGTTGGTGCTCGGTAGGTATGGCCCGAGTGCTAGTCATGGCCCCTCGGTTTAGATAAAAACTCAATTTATGAAGAAGATTTGATAGCTATTTTTGATAAGCAAATGCAACAATTGAAGTTGAAGAAGGTTGCTTCAGTTAAAGTAATATAGCACAACCATCCGACAAAGGAAGCTACATGGGAGCCGAGGCAGACATACAAAATATGTACCCATAATTGTGTATGCTTTTATGCATCACTGCGCATTGTGTATGCTTTTTGATATAATCGGAGCATTGTGGATGCTTCAGTGTGGTATTGTGTATGCTCCATCACATATTTGAGGCATTATGGTGCCATCGTGGACTCAATGTTGGTTGATTTCCATCATTATTATTTATGACAAGTCCTTAGTATACTGTGTTGAGATTTGTGTACTCTTGTTGAGTAATTCTTATTAACTCTCTCTCTCTCTCTCTCTCTCTCTCTCTCTATATATATATATATATATATATATATA